AAAAAAAAAAAAGGAAAAGCCAACACCTTCACAATTCTATCCTCCAACACACTACCTAACATATAATATAGGTACACAATATTTTAGAGGAATAACTAAATAACAAATACATTTCAATGTTTTTAAAATCAAACATGACGATTTAAATACTGAAGCCAATTCCTGTTTTAAAAGCATATATGGAAGGGCACTGGTACCTCATGCCTGTAATCCTAGCTACTCAGGAGGCTGAGATTTGAGGAAGCAAGCCCAGGCAGTAAAGTCCGTGAGAATCTTATCTCCAATAAACCACTCAGAAAAAGCCTGAAGTGGCACTGTGGCTCAAGTGCTAGAGCACTAGCCTTCAGCACAAAGAGGCTCAGGGACAGCACCCAGGCCCTGAGTTCAAGCCCCAGGACTGGCCAAAAAAATAAAAAAGCATATATACGCTGGCCAGGTATGATAGACCATGAGTATAATCCCAGTTACTTGAGAGGTAAAGATCAAGAGGACCACGGACAGACAAGGAAGATCACAGGTAGAGGTCAACTTGGAAGAAAAAGTTAGCCAAGACCCCATCTCAACAAACAAGCAAGGAATGGACGTTTCAGTTCATAATCTAGCTAAACTGGGGCACAGGCAGGAGGACTGCAGTCCAAAGCTGGCCCAGACAAAAGCAAGACACTTCCTAAAAAACAAAAGGAAAAATGAGCAAGGCACAATGGCACAAGCCTATAATCATAGCTACTTAAGAAGCAGAGATCACAGTTTAAGGCCACCTCAAGAAAACAAAGTCCTAAGACTCTAACTTAACCAATGACTGAGTGTGGTAGCCCTTGCCTATCATTCCATCTGCATTAGAAACATAATGACTGGACACAGCACCATGTGCCAGTCACCCCAGTGATGCAGAGGAGCACAAAAGGAAGACCATAGTCTAGGTGGCCCAAAGAAAAAGCAAAGCCTACATCAAAGGCAGGGAGGAGGCGCAGCCTTGCACAGTGGCTCCAGTGCTAAGGCACCTGCCTACTGAGATCTTCGAGTGTGAGGTTCTAATCCAGTACTGTCAAAAACAAAAACAGATAAATAGCTGAGGGCTTTTAGTGGTAGAACATCTGCCCAGTAAGTGCAAGGCCCTGAGTTAAGGCCCCAAAGTAAAAAAAAAAACAAAAAAAGTAAAACCACATACTTATAGGGACAATAGGTAGGTGCATCTGTAGTTCCAGCTACTCAGGAGTCTCCCTAAGGAGTTGGGAGGCCAGCCTGAACAACAAAGCAATATCTCATCTCAAAAGGAGGAAAATAAAGGCAAGAAAGAAGAAAGGAAAGAAAGGGAAGGTAGGCAGGCAGGAAGCCTTAAAAAACACATACTTTTACAATCTCCAATATAAGCTGATTTTGAAGGGGGGGAGAAGTGCATCTGCAAAATTTCCCAACTGTCTGGAGAACACTGTAACGTTAAAATGAAAACTAAAGAAGACATTTCTTTGATATAAAAGAAAATTTAACTAAAATGCCACACTCACCTCTGTAAGCAATATTGCTAGCATATCCTGCCTCTGAAAACGTATAGCCAAGTGTACCAGGGTATAGCCAACATCAAAGGCAGAAGGACGATTCAGCAAGCGTACTTCATCTGCAGTGAGCTGACGTGCAATATCTCCTCCTGATGACTTATAAGCTTCTATGGCCCCTAAATCACCTTCTACAACCCCTAAAACAAGCATCAAAATAGAAGAGTATTTAATTCTATTTTTCTTTAATAGGCACAAACCTACAACAGTGACTCCAAACTCCTTATGTGTTTCTTTGTGCTTCCAGGATCCTGGGGCATCATTTAAAGTCCTAGAGAATATAAGGAAAATTAGCATTTCCCTACATTTTCAAACATTCCACAACTAGAACTGCGTTAAGTACTTACCTTACCATCACAGCTGGCTTCATGTTTTGCTGGGGTTTAGAAGAACTATTAGGATATAGTAAGTAAAGCAAAGACCAGCAACCTAGTATGAGAACTGGGCTTCATAGTCTTTGTGGTGGTCCCGCACTCATCCGGCTGCAGAAACTGAGGAGACACACATGTGCTTCCAGTCAATGCTAAGCTTTCTATACTGCTAGTTACAAATAACTTAGAGCAATTTAAACCATTCTTATTGTAAAAAGAAAAAAAAAGGTTGGCGATGTTTTGATTTCAGTATATCTCATAGCCAAAGCTTCCTTATGCCCATTAAGAAAGATTAATAAACAGCTGGGCACAGTGGCACATGTAGTAACACCTGAACTTAGGAGGTGGAGGCAGGAGGATCCCAAGTTTAAAGTCAGCCTAAGCTACATAGCAAGTTCAAGGCTAGCCTGGGTAAGACTATTCTCAGAAAAGGAAAGACTGTTAAAGATGACTTTGAATGCTAAGATAAAACTTTACAAACAAATCAGTATCACATTGTCCATAAAGACCTTTGCATTCCCACCAATGCACCATATTCATCTTAAGATTAATGTTAAGACAATAACTGTATCAGCTCCAGAATCCTGCAAACTCTAGGATCACAGATACTTCCTGTAAGTTTAGGTCCTTTTTCTCAAAGCACAGACAAAAAGGTTTTCAGGTTAAAAACTCAGGAGAGGGGCTGGGATGGTGGCTCAGTGGTAGAGCGCTTGCCTTGCATGCATGAGGCCCTGGGTTCGATTCCTCAGCACCACATAAGCAAAAAGAAAAAAAGCCCGAAGTGGCACTGTGGCTCAAGTGGTAGAACACTAGCCTTGAACTGAAGAGCTGAGGGACAGCGCGCAGGCCGAGTTCAGGCCCCACGACCGAACCCCAAAAAAAAAAAAAAAAACCACTCATGAGAAAACCAGGTATGACAATGTAAGCCTATAGCCCCAGCACTTGGAAGGCTATGTCAGGATTTCATAAACCCAAGAGTTTTGAGAATAGCCTGAACAATATAGTAAGACCCTTCACAATTCTGGAGCAGACAGCTCTGGTGGAGCCCTTGCCTAGCACACACACGTACTTCTTAGCACACTCAGCTTCTCACTGAAGCTCAGCAAGAGTTCTCTCACTCCTCATCACAATAACAAAAGAGTTCCGGTTGTTTTGTTGTGTTTTTTTTCCCAGTAATCTAGGGTTAATACATTCCTTGCTACAAATACACAAGTTTAAGTTCAGTTCTAAATCCCATCCCCATCCCACTTTATACATAAAAGGCTTCTAAACATACTTAAAAGAACAATGCCCCAAAAGTAGTTCGGGCTGAAACACAGTAAAGCTGGCGTGAGACTGGGAGAACAGAACATTAAGTGCTAATTGAATTCAAAGTCACCTGTGGTGCAAGAGGGTTGTTTCTAATTATGTTCAAGTACAAAAAAACTCTAAAATCTCTGCTTAATTTGTTTAAACAGTTAAGTGTTTTCGAATACAATTTTTGAATAATTGAATGTCGCTTACTTTATTTAAAAGTGTGCCTATCCCATGCCCTTTTGTTTCTGCAGTATTATGTATAAAGGCAGCTACTTCTCCCTTCAGCACCAAGATCGGCAGAGCCAGAGCTGGTGGCAAACAGCTCAGTGGTAGGGTACTTTCCTAGCATTTGCAAGACCTTGGGTTTGACCCCACCTGGGAGGAGGAGGAAATAAAGCCATAACTATTTCAAGTGCATGCAGCACAACACCTTTTAGTTATTACCTTAAATCTAAAAATGAGTCTATTTATAAAAGCTGTGTATTGTAGACAAAATATTCTAAAAACACCTAACCCCAAGAGTTTAAGCAATTTACTTGAAAAGACAAAGATATGCATGGTAAATATGTATGTAGACACATGTGTATATGTATGTACACATATACAATTTCTAAATATACTTTTTAATTCGAAAGACAAATTTGAAGTGACCACAGCTAAATACCAAAGAACTTCCTTCTTTGCATTGGACAGAGAGAAGAACTACTAAGTTTCCATCTTTACTATTTTAACTAACTCAATGGATAAGTCTAGAAGTATCTTTAAAATTCTTAAGGATTCACTTCTCTCTCTTTGATGGATTTTTTGAAATTAGAAATTAACTGACAAGCACTGGTAGCTCACGCCTATAATCCTAGCTACTCAGAAAGCTGAAGTCTGAAGATCACAATTTGAAACCAGTAAGGACAGACAAATCCACGAGGCTCTTAACTCCAATTAACGAGGGGAAAAAAGCCAGAGTTGGATGGGTGGTTCAAAGTGTAGTGATAGCTTTGAGCAACAAAGTGGAGTAAGAACAAAATTAAGTTTAAGCCCCAATACTGGTACGTGCATGCGTGTGCGCGCACGCGCGCGCGCACACACACACACACACACACACACACTAGAAGCTAATTAAGCACAATGAGTAGAGGGTGGGGTACTGGTTTGTGAATTAAACAATTCAACAAAGTTTGCAACTATACTTTAGAATTATGATTTACAATACCTCCTGTTATGTCTTCATAGTAAGGGCTTTTTAAAAACAGAACTTCAAGCAGGGTACCAGTGGTCACATCTATAATCCTAGCTACTCAGAAGGCTGAGATCTAAGGATCATGGTTTGAAGCCAACCCAGGCAAAAAAGTCTCCATGAGACTCATATTTCCAATTAACCACTCAAATTGGAAGTGGCACTGTGGCACAAGTGGTAGTGTGTTAGCCTTGAGCACAAAGGCCCTAAGTTCAAGCCCCACAACTGACAAAAACAAATAGAACTTCAAATGTTGGACTGTGTGGTATACGAGTCTCAATAAATCTAAGACACACACACACACACACACACACACACGAATTCTATTTAATGCAAATTACCAAAAATTCTGAATTCTTCTCTCCTACCCCATGTGCACCATTAAGCTGTAGAAAGGCTATGCTGCCCATGCCCCAGAAAATGGAGAAGGTAGGAACTGAGGAGGAACAGACTGCTCTTCCCAGCACGAAGCAAGCCTATGATCACACACAACTCATAAGCAGTAAAGGCACAAGCCTTTAAAATACCTTCTATCTAATGTTTTGGGAATATAGAATTCTATTTTCTCATTAACTGTAAGAGCTCATAGTTTCAGAGACTGGTGAATTTCAGCTACAAAAACTAGTAAATGTCGGGGCTGGGAAGGTGGCTCAGCGGTAGAACGCTTGCCTTGCATGCATGAGGCCCTGGGCTCAATTCCTCAGCACCACATAAACAGAAAATGCCAGAAGTGGCACTGTGGCTCAAGTGGTAGAGCACTAGCTTTGAGCTGAAGAGCTGAGGGACAGTGCTCAGACCCAGAGTTCAGGCCCCACAGCTGACAGGAAAAAAAAAAGCTGGGAGGGAGGGAGAGGCAAATAAGTGCAAAGACTAACACTTGGTTTTATAGAACAAAGTCCAGGGAACAATGATGATGTTCCAATATAGAGAGAGGACCTACCTTCTCTGTAGGTCACTGATCTCTCATAATGCCTCTCACCCCCTTTCTCTTTGTATTTTTTAAATTTAACATATATTTCATTTAACTTATACATTCTGTCTCCCTCCCCTTCATGCTATGAAGACAAATAAAAAGACAACTGAAAGCACTCTGATTAGCTGTGTAAAACTAACCTGCAATACTTATACATTCAAAAATACACAAGTAATTCGTGATACATAATTATAAAGGAAAATGTAGGTATACTTTAAACACAAATAAATGAGAAATATGTTATTATGTATTGCTAGCAAGAAAAAAGGGCGGGGGTAAAAGAGGTGGCAGCAGCAGAGATTCATGTTGTACCCTAAGCTAGGCCAATGCCGATAGCTCCCTGGGGACTTCACAGCTACGATGGAACTCCGTTGGTTAGCATATGGAGCTGGCTCATAGATGTTTAGAAAATAGACTTATTTTTCCCCCATATATGGCACAGTTTTCAAAGTTTTGCCTTCTATTCCTTTATTACATAAATCATATGGTAACTAACTTTGAAAAGAATGCCAAATGGTAAAAAATAAAGCCAGGACTTACCTGAGCCCACATGGGCCAGCTCAACACTACCCTGGAGTTCTATGGTAGCTGTGACATCACAGCATGCTTTATGCTGTGGGGACAGGGTGGACCTGGAGTCTGCAGGCACAATTTCAGGAACCCTTAAAGAGAAAAGTTAGTTTTAAGTGCTAATGTTCAGAATGTTCTATACTATGGTCAGTAGAAAGATGCAGATGCAGCCGGCTATGTCTAGGTAGCACTCAGCATTCTTTCGCATATGAAAGAGAAACTATATACCCAGAAAAAAAAAAATTTAATATTCCCAAATCTAGCTTAATCATGGTCCTGGGCCTAAGTATCTATGGAATACTCAATACTCAAACTACTTTTAAATATAAAATGTCCTTAATATTTGGGGAGGGAAACAGTTCTGAGGAAGTAGTACTGGGGTCTGAACTCAAGGCCTCATGCTTGCTTGCTCAGCTGGCACTCTACAACTCAAACAATGCTTCTGGCCAGGCTTTTTCCTGATTATTTTGGAGATGGAACTGTAAGCAGTTTTCTCCCCAGGCTGGCTTCTGGCCAGGATCCTCCAGATCACAACCTCTTGAGTAGTTAGGATTTACAGGCATGAGCTACCAGGGCCCAAATAAAACTTTTTAAGTGTTAAGTTTTCAAAGAGGCACAGTCACAGAGAACCCCAGAAACAGTTTGAGCAAGTCAAACCGATCAGCTCTCGCTGTATTTTTCACAGCAAAACCAATGGCA